AGCAACATCCCCTTGCCACACTTTTCTCTGCTAAAGTATTAGTTTTCACTTTGAACCTCACACTTCAAAGGCAGCAGATTCTGCAGTTTGGGCTGAAGCTAAGACTGAAAGGACAGGTTTATCGCCAACGAATGGCAACGTTTTAGACTCAGGCCCAGATCCACAAAGACTCCCACTGATTTCAATGGAAGTTAGGAGCCTAAAAACCTTTGTGGCTCTGAGTCTTAGGGTACGTCTACAGTACGAAATTAATTCGAACTTATTCTATTCGAATTTTCGGAAGTGATTTTATACATTCGGTGTTGTGTTCCCCCACTAAAGTGCGTGAATTCGGCGGAGTGCGTCCACAATACCTAGGCTAGCAATGAATGTCGGAGAGGTGCACTGTGGGAAGCTATCCCACAGTTCTCACAGTCCCCACCGCCCATTGGAATTGTGGGTTAAGCTCCCAGTGCATGATGCGGCAAAAACATTCTCGCGGGCGTTTCTGGGTGTGTGCCGTCACTCACTCCTCCCTCCGTGAAAGCTACAACAGACGCCATACTGCCAGCAGACGGTGCACCGCCTGTCTCCTGGTACTATGAATCCACCTCGCATGTCCTCTCGTCTTTCTATCTACTCTTTTATCTAACCATTTCCCGCCTTTTTTTGGCTACCGTGAACTGAGCAGCACAGCTTCCGCCGCAAACTCTGCTCTCCTGCTCTTGCAACGCTAGGTAATTTTTCCATGTTGTCTGTCCTGGGCTCACGTGCAAGCTACAGAAGGCAACAATTCCCTGCCGTTTTTCAGCCATTGTGACCTGAGCCGCACAGCTTCTGCTGCAAACTCTGCTCACACTTCCGCTGCAAACTCTGCTCTCCCACTCTTGCAGCTCTAGTGAGCTTCCCGACTCCGTGAAAGCTAAAGAAGACAACCATTTCCCGCCTTTTATCGGCCATCTTGAACCGAACAGGTGTCCTACGTTTCGCGCCCTTTTTCCAGGATTACCTGTGCAAGCGCCATAGCGTGGCAAGCATGGAGCCCGCTCAGATCTCCGCTGCAGTTTTGACCATTGTAAATACCTCGCGCATTATTCAGCAGTATGTGCAGTACCTGCAAAACTGGGCGAGGAAGCGACAACAGTGCGATTACTATACTGATGAGGACATACAAACAGATGTTCCTAGAAGCACGGCATGTGGCAATTGGGAGATCATGGTGGCATTGGGCCAGGTTCATACTGTGGAATGCCGATTTTGGGCCTGGGAAATAAGCACAGACTGGTGGGACCGCATAGTGTTGCAGGTCTGGGATGATTCCCAGTGGCTGCAAAACTTTCATATGTGTAGGGCCACTTTCATGGAACTTTGTGACTTGCTGTCCCCTGCCCTGAAGCACCAGAATACCAAGATGAGAGCAGCCCTCACAGTTGAGAAGCGACTGGCCATAGCACTGTGGAAGCTTGCAACGCCCGACAGCTACCGGTCAGTCGGGAATCAGTTTGGAGTGGGCAAATCTACTGTAGGGGCTGCTGTGCTGCAAGTAGCCAACGCAATCATTGACCAGCTGCTATCAAGGGTAGTGACTTTGGGAAGTGTGCAGACCATTGTGGATGGCTTTAATGTGCTGGGGTTCCCTAACTGCGGTGTAGCGATAGACAGAACACATATCCCTATCTTGGCCCCGGCACACCGGGGCAGCCAGTATGTAAACCGCAAGGGGTACTTTTCCATGGTGCTGCAAGCACTGGTGGATCGCAAGGGACGTTTCACTGACATCAACGTGGGATGGCCGGAAAAGGTGCATAACGCTCGCATCTTCAGGAACTCTGGTCTGTTTGAACAGCTGCAGGAAAGGACTTACTTCCCAGACCAGAAAATTAATGCTGGGGATGTTGAAATGCCTATAGTTATCCTCGGGGTT